ATGGGAGATAGTCCTAAGCATTCAGAAGGCACAAGTTCAGACAGGATTGTTTCAAAGGCCAAAAGAGTGATAGTTCTTTCACATAACTCTTGGCAGACATAAACACCCTCCATCATTACCCTGCAATGCACACGTAAGCCGTTTCTCTGCAATCCGTGTGGTACACACAACGTTTGTTATCCTTGCACATAAACCTGACTACATGGGAGTTGACAATCTTCCCACTCAAACAGGGTTTGCTTTTGGGGATGGGGGCTGCTTATGGCCCATATTTTTGTGAGAACACCGATGGATCAGACCATAACCCTGCCAAGTCCGGCATATTATGCTGGATCCAAACTCACTGGTGGCTAACCAGCACATCTTGGCAAGTCCAGGGACGGGACATGAGTACAAAAACACCTTCCCTATAACCGAGCGACGTCCTCTCTATCCGTTGTGGGATCAACAGAGAACTATTTCAGTGTGACGTCGCCAATCCCCAGCCTGCCTCTACTGCACTTCTTCCAAGTCACTTCTAGATGCGGTTGCCCGCTTCTGCCTGCGTAGCGCATGACAAACGAAGGGAATCTCATAAGTTGAATGCACCGTGATATCAGCAGGAGGGAAAATGCACCAATCCCAGCCCTGCAAGAGGAAGGAACAAGGTCTGACTTCTCCAGCCCTTCTACATCTCCTCTGTCCTACTTAAGTTGAATACAGGGTGAACAAATGAGGAACCGTGAAGAGGTTCTTGAAGGAGAGGTTCTTGAAGAAGACCCCTTCTGTAGGATCTCTCCCCCACCTTGCCCTTCCTTATCCAGTCAACAGATGCCGCCCATCCCATTTTAGCACTGAAGATGTTACCTAGCCAGGTAATGAAACGTTTGCAAGAAAAGGACCAAGCTCAGAGAACCCCAAGGACTCCACACCATCTAGCTTCTTGGGGTTGTGTCCAGGAGACAAAGGAGGGTTACATTGTTTGACTATAGTACTATTTCGGCCTTGTGCAAAGCTGGTAAAATTAGCAATGTCCACGTTATCTACTTGTGCAAATCCAATGGGCTACCAGCACAGTGGCCCTCATGGGTTGGGGCACCTTTTAGGGAGATGATGGTGGCATCATCCTGAGACAACCCATAGGTGTCCCTGATCCTACCCACCACTGGTCCCTGCCTCTGACTACAGTGGAGGGGCCAACCCCAACAGATTTTACCCACTGTGGGGCTGTCCTTGGATGGTGTCAGAATAAAGGGGGGAAACTACCTTAAGGACAGTCCTGCTAAAGGTGAGGTAGCTCTCTCATTCACAACCTGGGGTTGACGAAGAGAAAAATCACAGGGACTGGCAAAACCAGGAAGCAGTAGGAGCATATTTGTTCCAAGGCTATGTGGAAACCCTGCCCCCAATTGTGCTCCTCAGTTGCAATGTTCACACACCACATATAGCAGTTACAAATATAGCAACTGCATTCCTACAACATGCAAAGCTTGGCTGGTCATCAGCTCAGTTTGACGTTTGGGGGTCTTAGTGGGCTGGAGGAACCCAACTACTAGCGTGCGTTTGTGATTCAATGGATTCTGTAAGTCCAGACAAGGAGTTCATTCTAGAACCAGATTCAGCCGCCTCTTGCTGATATTGAGGATCCTACGGCTGAACTGGAGTCTCGAGTCAGGACAATTAATAGATAGAGTAGCCCCATTCTCCATAAAAACTACAAGGCAGAGCAACATTTGGTTCAGACAGGAGGGAGTCACCAGCACATGGATTTCAGTCCTACCTGCTGTGCCCCTTCCCATTGCATTTTGAGCACCACACTTTGTGAACTTCTAAGACAGTCTTTCTCAACCTTGGCCACTTTAAGGCGTGTGGACTTCAACTC